CAGTGTGTGTAATGAATCTTCTCCTAGAGCAATGTGATTTAGTCTGGTTTTCTTTTTTACTAAGGAACTCTGTCTTCCTAGCTGCTTTGAAAAGAGAGCTTTAGAGGTCCAGAGGAGTTTGAAGAGTTATGGACTCCTGCTTTTGTGTAGGAAGGTATTTGGAAAGAACCAAAATACATTATCTGAAACATTTCTTTGTGGCCAGAAGGGATAATTCTTTGGTCATGGGCCAGTTGCATCATAACAGTAATACAACTGTAAATGAAAACAGTAATACAATTGTAGGTTGCCTTGCTTCTTCAGCCATGGAGGCATGGCCTTTTCACTTTTTCTCCATGCTACCTCTAATTGTTAGGGTGTTCCTTAGCAAATGAGCCTTTGATAGTCAGTCACATGACTGTGTTCATAATTTTTAGGATTTTTGATGTACTTGTAAAAATGAAACACACGGAGAAATATCCATTCAGTAACTTCAGTGCTAAAGTTAGACACAAAGATTTATGATATCACTTAAACCTCTTTTGTTTTTTAATTTATGTTCTAGTTTAAAAGAAAACTTATCTGGTGACCTGTATTTCAGCTTAGAGAAGGGACAGATTTTGATTGTAAGAGGTGGAGAGAGATTAAAGTTGAGGAGGAGAAAAGAAGGGAGGTATAAACTTTCAAAGGAAAAATACTTGGATTTGCTGGTGACTGATTTCACTTCTGACAGGTGCACTTTTTAATTTTTTTCCAGATGAAGGCATATTCATTTGGCATGTGCATGTATGTTTGCTGCGTATTATGAGAAAGATGTGGAAGGAGTTATGAGTGGGAGAACACACAGGAGTATAATCAGGAGACTGGAAAGAACTCAGATTATTATTTTCTTAATTAATAAATGGCTTGTTTCATATTCTCTAAAAGCAAAGACCAGAAACACAGGATTTGACAGTACTTGCCAAACCTCTCCCCTTTCTGAGAGAACAGTGTGTCCTGCTGGAATTCTTGACATTTGGACTGAGCTAACAACATACCCAAAGAAAAGATACTTTTACCTGCATGCTAGTCTATTTACCACTCTCTTCAGATTGGTTGTGGCCCTGTGCCCTTTGCTCAGCTGCAAAGTTGGAGTTGGTACTTCTGCCTTACTTGAAAATACTTACATTCATGAAATAATGAGGTTTATAGGTAGAGGTTTTCACACTACCCAGTAATTTTGAGGGATTTTTTTTTCTTTTTAGGTATTAGATGCAGATGTTACTTTTATATGCAGATCATCTAAAGAATAAGTTGATTTGCCCCTTTTTTCATTAGCTTGCCCCTTCAAGTTATTTTCATCTTGTTTTATCCAGATCAGTATATAAGATGCCAGGACTTGGAAAAGTCCCAGAAATGAGTCTGCTCAGCTAGAAAGAGTCCTCAAAGGAAAATTTAACTTGGTATTCTTACATGTATGTGTGTATGTTTGCAACAAGGGAGAATTTCAGTTTTCTGATTAGTAAATAGGTATTTAATCATCATGAGGATGATACCAAAACTTGAGGGAAATCAGAGGATCAACTAAACAAACTGTCATTAGCTTTTCATGTGTTTGTGACTGGCATTTTTGCTGTTCCTGCAGGTAGGCAGAATTTTTTTTGCAGAAGTTCTTGTTGAATTATTAAGTTTCAGAGAACAATATAGTGTTTGCATGTGCTGTTTGGGCAGATTAAATGCAATTAGATTTAGAATTCTTCTTAACTATTCAGTTCCAAAGTTTGGCCATCTTACTTTTTTTCCCAGAATCTTTACTTAAGTTCTAACTCTGTTATATCTTTATGTCATTGAAAAAGTGAGAACTGAAGTTTACATTTCCTCTGTGTAATGACACTGTAGAAGTAAGGATGCTTTTAAAGCATTTTAAAAATGCTTTTTAAAGAATGCTTTTATACTGTAACAACTTCTGTAATGAGCTGCTTTCATTAGAATTTTTCTTCATATAATTGCAAGGAGGATTCTTTTCTCCATCTTCATTGAAGCATTTTGCATTTATCTGTTCTAGACTGCCATAATTTTGAATCCTTTGCCTTACAGATACATTTTTCTGAAAAAAGATCTGTTCGGGAGTCTGTATGGCTGATCCATTCAGAGACTGTTTTAGTGACTGCTTAGAACTTTGTCCCACATAAACCTTGTTTGTGCTTTCCTCATTTGAAACCATGACATATGTAAGCTCTTTGTATTTGAGTATGTTGAGGCATATTGGTAATTTTTTTTACCCCCACTCAGGTTTTTGACTACATCAGAATGGGAGTCTGAATTTCTCCAAAGTCTTGGAGAAACTTTCAGAGGAGTAGTTAGTGAAATATGTACTGAAGTGGCACTGGTTAGGAGCTCCAAAATCTTGAAGTTCTGTGAATTATGTAGATCTTCTGTGTGTTGTATCTGAAACAGTCTCCATAACACCTCAGACTTGGAGCAGGTTAATTTTCATATAAGTCTTTATTGCATATCATGTAAATAAGATGAGAATGGCAGACTTGGAAACAAGACTGGTCACCATCTGAAAAACGTGTGCTGTAATTTTAGAGAAGTTATTCAAGTCAAAAGATAGTTGTGCATGTAAGTAAATCTAATTGGTTCATCTTGCAGGATGATGTTGCTTAACACGTGTACATAGGGGTTGTCAGGTCTAATCCTGCCTCAGACCCAGTTTTTCTGGTCATCTGCCAGAGTAATTGTAGTACCAATCTACTCATACAGAATAAACACAAGCTTACTGTGAGTAATGGATAAGAACTACAGATAGTTTAAAAGCTTTGTGGGGGAATTTGCTGCTGTTCCTGGTTTTGTGCATTTGGAACACACTCTAAAGCTGATTAATACTTAGCTTATAAACCAAACAAGCAGATTTAAGAGTCTGTAAGAAGCTTTCTTCCAATCTGGTAGTATTGTCGTCTTCAGTTGAATATAGTATATTTAGGTGTTGGCCAGTGACCTCTCCTGCAAATGTGGGGAAGTAGACCTCCTTCTTCATTATCTTCACTGGCTCTTCCCATGGATTTATAGGGGATCAGGTAAGAAGAGATGTTTTGAATTAAGACATACCACATGTCTTGTTCTTAGGATGCCAGTTGAATGCCTGACAACCTGTCAAGGAAATGCCCATCGTTTGTGTGTTGGGTGACTCAGATGCATTTAGAACTGAGTCCTGATATATGTTGTGCAAGGACCTTTGGGATTTCCTTCTAATAATGATTCCAGGCATCTGTTTGTGCCGGTACTATACTAAACCACTTTCAGGTTGGGGGGGTGGAGGTGCTAGTCTTTTGGACATGTCTTCCAACTTACATTCATGCTGACTTTCAGTCTGTATAATTCTCTGTTTCAATCGTATCTGATATGCAGTTCCATTCTCAAATGAAAAGTTACTTCTGTGCCTTATTGTATAAAATATCTAATGGAACCTCAAATGCTGCTTAAGACTTAATTGTCTGGGAACTTTTTACTTTGGATAGTTGGACATAATGTTTTCCTCATGTATGTGAATAAATAAATGTAGATTCAAGATGGTACTCCAACTTAGTGTGATAGTTAATTTGATGAACCAGTTAAAATGCTCAGTGTGTCAGGTAGTGTTTCTTCTTTGGCAAGGCTGTCTGTCTACTTGGGCATTTCATACCATGCCTGTTAAAGGGGTATCTTTCTCTCATTCTCAAGCATTTAAATTCTCTGGGAGCAGTTTCCAAATACGGAGAATGGGACTTACTGAACATAATCTTTGTTCTGCAGTGTATTCAGTCTGATTCTGTATCTTTAACTCTGCATATTAGTGTGTTACTAAGAAGTTAATTTCCTGTATTGGTCTTGGAGTGTTGGCCCTCAAAGCCTAGTTATGTGTAAAATACTATTTGTTAATATAGTGGATTATAGGTATGTACATTTTTAGCTTAAGCATCATCTTTTGTAAGGCTGCAGAAACAAAAATGTTGTTCTGTTCTTCCTAGTCATGTCCTAAAGAGAGGTCAGTAGCAGATGTCATAAACCTTAGGAAGCTGCAACTTAAGCTGTCAGAAGGACATATTCCTAGCACATTAGGTAGATACTGCCTTGTGGTGCAGAACAGGAGTTCTAGTATCTATTCAGACTTGTCCAATTTTTAATTCATAGCAGAATATTCATAATTCTATAAAAACATTTTTCAGTTACTTATCAGTGAGTCCTAGAAAAAATGTCAGTGAAAAAATTCTACAGTACTTGCTGGAGAAATTCAGTCTTTTTATCTTGATGTGAATGTGAAGTTTATTCATGTTTCCTGTAGAATACATAATACCTGCAGAGGAGAGAGAAAAGCCTTCTTTTCTTGCATGGTTTGGTAAATTTTCATGTTAAGTTTGGGGAACTTCTGTGTTAGCAACATAAAAGTGCCTGCTTTTCATCAGTAGTGCAAAAGCACTGAAGTTCAACACACCTGAAAGTTTCAACCAGTGTGTAACAGATAATCAGATTCCTTTTTCACTATTAATTTTTTATATTATATATTTTGAGATATTTCTATTGTGAAGCAGTGGTTCAGCTATGGCATAAATATTGACATGGTATCACTGAGGATTTGTAAATTTTAATCTGAATTTTTGAGGTACTGTTGAGAGTTCAGCTTTTGATAACTCATCTTATGATTGAAAAATTCTGTATGTGACCCTGTACATGGGGATAAGAAGGGTGGCAGAAAAACAAAGGTTTGGCAGTATCGGCAGCAGCATCATAGGAGTCTGCTCCTACTGAATATTAGAAAACTATGTTATGTTTGCTAATGAAAATGAAAGGTAGTCTGTCTGTTTTTTGTCATCAGTAATTGAATGCTTCTTGAATATCAGCCTATGGCCTTTATACAAGATGAAGATAGCAGTTTCAATAAAGTAACAGATTAATTTGGCAGTGATTACATTGAAGTACATTTATAAACAGAGGTTTACATGAACAAAATAAATGGTGCTACTGCTTTGAAGTAACCTCCATTTATACACTTTCTGTTGCAGATTTGTACTATGGTGGAGAAGCTTTCTCTGTAGAGCAGCCACAGTCTTTTACTTGTCCTTATTGTGGGAAAATGGGTTATACAGAAACATCTCTTCAAGAACATGTTACTTCTGAGCATGCAGAAACATCAACAGAAGTGGTAAGAAGCTTCAGAATTGGCTTTCAGTTGTGGTAAAAATATATTAAAAGGAGTCTCTTTTCTGGGAAATTGGTATCCTCCTGTTCTTTTTCTTTTTTGAAGCATGAGCTCATTTAAATGCTTTGTAAGAAGACATATCTACATTTAATGGTGACATCAAAATTCTTCTGTGTTTCATGGGTTTTGTTTCTTTCTTCTTCTGTGGTTGCTGTTTGGTTGTCCTGATGTAAAGGCTGCCATGTTGAAGAGTTTATTATCCTGTAAGACAAAGTTTAGGATATTCTTACGGTTATTCTGTGTAGCTGAGTCTCCCTTTTCACAACCAGTACGTAATTGCCCTGGAAGCTCATAGCTGTGTCAGTCTTTTGTAACTGTAAGAGAGAAGAAAATACGCAGACAATTTGATGGGTTTTTCAGATAGCTTTTGTAATGGACCTGGTATATTTCTGCAGCAGAAGCTGTCATTCTTTTGAAACTATTGCTGTTAAAGCAGGGTTTTTTCCCCCATCCCTAACCATTAAGACACTTGATATGGTTAAAAACACACTTCTTAAACAAGTGTCAACAGAAATGCTTTAATCTGAGGTGTTAGCTTCTGCTATCCTGATTGTCTTTGGGAGCAGGAGAAACTAGGTTAGCAGAACGACATCCAGGGTGCTCTTGTCTGGTTAACAGTTTTTTCTAGGTTCCTAGAAAAATATGAATGCTTGAAGTGGATTACTCATCACTAATACATTGTGAAGAAATTACTTATAAATAGGTTCTGTATTCTAATCTTCTAGTTTCCTTAACTCCAAGGAATTCTATGGAAGAAAATGAACCTTTCCTCTCCAAGCCTATTAAGGATCTTGTGTGAAGGAATGATAGGGGAGGTGGTTTGTCCACCTTCGTGAGACTCAAAGGTGTTCTGATCTTTCTTAAAAACATATGAATGAAACGGTTTACTTCACAATCAGTTGCACTGTAGAATCATAATTTAACTTAGTGACACTCTGCAATTCTTATCTCCTTTTAGTTTTTCTTTAACTTTGCAACTTTCAAACATAGTGTCAACCATTGAAAGTTCCATGTTTGGATGACTTTCTTCGGTGGCTTAGTATTGCAATTCTGATTTGCACCACTTGATGTCAGTGATACACTCCTGACACAGAATGTGAAGATTCCAGGTTTTTAAGTTTGACACATCCTTGTTTGCAGCTGTGACTTCTAGAACTCGGCACATAAAGCCTAAATTTGCAATACTAGACACGTGCTGCTCCACTAATTGCTGAAAGAGTTATATGTGTAAATAAATAAATGATTCTTTCCTTTTTGTGAGTCAGTCTGCAACATTGTTATATCTTTGTTCCAAACAATGATAAAGGACAATATTTTAATCCTTGAATATGATTGTATATGCTTGTGCTATGTTTTGAATCTAGCTTTTGTGATAAATGTTTAGTGTGCATGCACATAAAACTACTTGGGTATTACTGTCTTACTGTAGATAGTGAAAGGCTACAACATTACTAAAGAGGAAAATATTATGGATTCTAAATGTTTGTGGTCTTAGGCTCTCAAGCAATTATTTCTGTTTAGATACTGAGCTTGTAGTCCTTGTAGTATGTGTCTGTCCAAAGAGGTGTTTTATTTTAGATATTTATTTTTAGATCTTTAAGGGAAGTTTACAGGTATGGAATGATTTTTATTTTACAGCCCAGGCCCCCTCTGCCCCCTGTCTTCCAAAGGATAAGTCAAAGACTCTTTGGTCCATTAAATTTTGCCATTTTTATGTTCAGAGTGGTGGATAAGAAGTTTAATTTCTGCTGATTTTTCTCAGGTATTTGGCATTGGTATGTACAATAATGTTAGCTACTTGTGGGCAGGAATCACACACTGACTAAGGTTGGAAGGGACCTCTGGTGGTCATCTTGTCCAACCCTCTGCTCAAGCAGGGCCACCTACAGCTGGCTGCCGAGGACCATGTCCAGACAGCTTTTTAATGTCTCTGAGGATAGAGACTCCCCAGCCTGTCTGGGCAACCTGTGCCAGTGTTGAGTCACCCTCATAGTGAAAAAATGTTTCCTGATGTTCATGAGGAACCTCCCGTGTTTGAATTTGTGCCCACTGCCTCTGGTCCTGTCAGTGGGCACCACTGAAAAGAGCCTGGCTCCATCCTCCTTTCACCCTCCCTTCAGGTATTTATGTACATTCATAAGATCCCTCCCTGAGCCTGTTCTTCTCCAGGCTGAACAGTCCCAGCTTTCTCAGCCTCTCCTCACAGGAGAGAGGCTCCAGTCCCATAATCATTTTTGTAGTCCTTTGCTGGACTGTCTCCAGTATGTGCATGTTTCTGTTGTATGTGGAATCTGGAACTGGGCACAGTACTCCAGGTGTGGCCTCACCAGTACCGGATAGAGGCAAAGAATCACCACCCGTGACCTGCTGGCAATGCTCTTCTAATGCAGCCCAGGACACCATTAGCTTTCTTTGCTGCAGGGGCACATTGCTGGCTTATGGTCCACCAGGACCCTTGGGTCCTTTTCTGCAAAGCTGCTTTCCAGCTGGGTGGCCTCCAGTGTGTGCTGGTGTCTGGCGTTGTTCCTCCCCAGGTGCAGAACTTTGCACATCCCCCTGTTGAGCTTCCTGAGGTTCCTGTTGGTCCATTTCTCCAGCCTGTTGAGATCCCTCTGAATGTCAGCATGGCTCTCTGGCATATCAGCCACTCTTCCCAGTTTTGTGTCATCAGCAACTTTCCCACTGATCACCACCCTCTGAGCCCAGCCATTAAGCCAGTTTTCACTTCACCTCACTGTCTGCTTACCCGGCCCGTGCATCAACAGCTTGTTTATGAGGATCCTATGGGAGACAGTGTCAAAGGCCTACTGAAGTCCAGGTAGTCAATATCCACTGCTCTCCAGTCATCTACCAGGCCAGTCACTTCATGATAGTTTATCAAGTTGGTCAAGCATGACTTCCTCTCCGTGAAGCTGTGTTGATTACTCTTGATGGTTTTCTTGTCTTTTAATATGCCTGGTAATGCTGTCCAGGATTAGCTGCTCTGTCACCTTCCCAGCGATGAAGGTGAGCTGACCAGCCTGTAGTTTCACAGGTCCTCCTTCTTATCCTTCTTTAAGATAGGAGTGACATTTGCTTTATTTCAGTCCTCAGGCACCTCTCCCAGTTGCCATGATTGATCAAGGATTATTGAGAGCAGCCTCGCAATGGCATCTACCAGCTCCTTCAGCACTTGTGGGTGCATCCTGTCACAGCCCATGGACTTAAGTATACCCAGTCCACTTAAGTATTCTCTAATGTAATCCTCTTCCACCAGGGGAATGTTTTCCTTGCTCTAGACTTTCCCCCGGTCTCTGGGGCCTGAAATTTCTGAAGGCCAGTCTTGCTAGTAAGGACTGAGGCAAAGCAGGCATTCAGTACTTCAACCTCTTCTCTGTCCTGTGTAACCAGGTCCCCATCTTTTGAGCAACGGGCCCATATCTTCCCTAGTCATCTTTTTGTTGCCTGTGTACTTCTAGAAGCCCTTGTTGCCTTTGGCATTGCTCATCAGATTCAATTCCATTTGGGCTTTAGCATTCCTTACTTGGTCCTAGGATGCTTGGATAATGTTTCTGTATTCCTCCAAGGTTACCCTATGAGGGTGACCTCTGTATGCTTCTCATTTGTGTTTGAGTTTGGCCAGGAGCATCTTGTTCATCCATCTAAGCCTCCTGGCATTTTTGCCTGACTTCTATTCATTGGGATGGAGCGCTCTTGAGCTTGGACGAGATGATGAATATTAACAAGCTTTCTTGGGGCCCCTCTACCCTCCAAAGCCTTATCCTACAAGACTCCTCCAAGCAGCTATTTTAAGAGGCCAAAATCTGCTCTTCTGAAGTCCAGGGTTGTGAGCTTGTTCTTCATCTTCCTCCCTGCCTCAGGATCCTGAACTCTACCATCTCAAGGTCACTGCAACCAAGGCTGTCTTTGACTTTCACATCCTGTATGAGCCCCTCCTTGTTGGTGAGTATGAAGTCCAGCAGAGCACCTCTCCTCATTGGCTTCTCTGTCACTTGGAGGAGGAAGTTATCATTAGTGCACTCCAGTAACCTGCTGGATTGCTCTCATGTTATGTTGTCCCTCCAGGAGATAACGAGGTGGTTGAAGTCCCCCAGGAGGACCAGGGCCTGCAAGTGTGAGGCAGCTCCTATATGTCTGTAGAGGTCCTGATCCATTTGTTCTTCCTGGTCAGGTGGCCTGTAGTAGATACGCACCTTTGTCTAGTGATGACACCATGTCACCTTGGCCTGTCCTCTCTTTAATCCCAACCCGTAAGCTCTCCATCACCTCTTCTTCCATCCCCAGGCAAAGCTTCACGCCCCCCAGCTGCTCTCTCACATAAAGGGCAAGCCCTGCTTCCTCTCCTTTCTGAAGAGCCCATATCCCTCCATTGCAGCACTCCAGTCATGGGAGCCATCCCACCATGTCTCTGTGATGCCAAGAAGATCATAGCCCTGCAACTGCATGCAGATCTCTAACTCGTGGTCATTCCCCATGCTGTATGTATTTGTATACAGGCAATTTGGAGAGGCACCCCAGCATGTTGAAGTCCTGGAGAGGAACTCCAGGAGGAGAGTTTGATGATATTTTCTCAAAGGTGATTGTTTTAATTCTGGGTACTTTAACTGAAAACTTCACTGGTGTCTGTGGGCATAGTCATAAGTTTTGTGATTGATTAAGTCTCTAAGGTTACACACTAAAAAGAATAAATCGTATGATTTTGGTGAGTGCTAAAACCTCAGTAATTACCGGTGTTTCTTCACCAGCAAATATCCAAGGGTAATGGTAGGTGTTATAAGGCAAGTGCAGAAGAATCTGGCTGTCAGTATGATGATTGTTACTGTTGGTGTTGGGTTTCAGGTCGGTCGACTGTTCCAAATAAAATGCAGCATTCAACTAGAAGTCTGCTGGCATTGTAAATAAAATTTTGGGAAAGTTCATCAAATGTAATCTTTGCATCTTATTTCAGAACAGAGACACAGATTTTCTACTATTACATTGCACTGCAGCAACTTTCTCATGTTTAGCAAGGCAGTAACTAGGCTCCTTGTACATGAACTGTGAGAATTAGATTGTTGACACGTTGCTGATAAAATTGAGGAGTGCTTTTCTTGCAGTAATGAAATAAACAATTTGAGACAGTCTGAATGTTTCCTGTTTGATTTTTGAAGGTTACAGTGTCTCTTGTTGAGGTTACAGAAATACTGCCACTTAAAGTGGTTACCTTGTATGTAAACAGGCAGGTAGTGGTAATACAAGCCTGTTTTCCATTCATCTGCACCATTTGTTCATGTGTCTTCTATTAACAATGATTTTTAGCTGTGCCACACTTAATCAGTGATGCTGCAGTCTTTGTTGTGATTTTGCCAGAGCTTATGCTTAACTAAATTTTTGTTTGTGTGTAATAATGCTTCAGTAACGTTTTCCAGTCAAGAGAGTTCTTGGAAGTTTAGTCTGTGTTTAGAATTAGGGTTAGAATACTTAGATTCCCTCCTTCTCATTGTTCCTTATAGCCTTTTCTTAGCTCACGTTTTTCTGAGGACGGTGTCTCTTCTTTTCAGGCAAATATGTGCAGTTCATAATGCCTTTGTCCTGTTAGCAAAAGAACTTTCTTTTGTTTTGCTGTTTTCAGAAGTGTGTTGTCCTTTTCATGTTGGGGTTCTGATTCCTCAGAGTAGCTTAAATGAAAAAAGATTGCTTTGAAGCTGTTCTGTCCTGTTGGTATGAAACGTGTTCTTGAAGGTTAAGCAGCTTATAAGTTTATGGATGTTAGAACCATCTGTCCAACATATATCCATTCCTGTGTCCTACAGGGTAGCTGTATGATAAGTTGGCATAGTTGAGTATTTATTATGTTACGCTGTAATAAGATGTCTTTGCTCTGTAGTGTGTCCGCTTGTAAGGCTTCTGTAGTGGTGAAAAATCTGGTTAGAGGAGTTCTGTGAAGAGAAATGCTGAACACTGAAAATAAAGGGGAAGAGGTTGTAGCAAAAAGCTTTTAAAATGCCTGATTTTCTGTTCAGAGCTGACTGCTAGAATTAGTGGCATTAAAGGGGTAGCAGCTGCTGTCAAAAGCAGCTGAGATTTTACAGTGTTCTCAATGCCCATGGTCTTTTGAGATCTACTGTCATTAACTTGAGTACATGCATGAAGAGCACTGGGAACCTGGGCTTTATGTTGCAGGCAGAGTTGCTCCATAAAGACAAAACTATTTGACTGTGGGGAACAGAGATAAATTCATAAACAGTAGTTGCATTTAACTGTCAAAGTGCTGTTAATTTGAGCACTTAACATTTGGGGGAAGAATTTTGTGGAATGGATTTTTTTTTTTTGTCTGCCATCTGTAAAACTTTAAAATCAGTCTGCAAAACTACTGTAAAGAAAAATGGAAGGTGCTTTTCAAGCTGTTTGTGGAGTCATTCAAAAAGCTAGTCATAGTTATGGCACTTGTAGTGGCACTGTTTGTCTACTTAGTTAATGTGTGTTTTGGTTTATAAAAAAACAAACAAAAAAACCCAAAAAAAGCAACAAACCAAAGATGTCAGTGCCTTCTCCCAAAATAGTGTTGTGTAGGGATATGGAGATCAGCACTTCTCTCCCAGACCTGTAGTTATACACTGCCAGGATGGGTGATCTCAGTTTGATACTTCAACATGTGTGGTTTCATTCTGATTCCTCTGCTGGGATGAGTGTCAAGCAGGCAAAGAGTAATCCTGTGTAATCAGAGTCTACTGTCTGTGGCAGAATTGGCATACAAAGACTAGTTTTCATAGGATTTTGAAAATCATAAAGTAAAAGATGTCTAAATTTATGTCTGCACTTGAATACGTTTTCTGGAGGTTTTGAATATGTTGCTATCCAGGTGTTTGTGAATACCTAGAATGTGATTTTATAGCATCAGAATTAATGTCTAATGATTGACTCAATGATATGAGTTCTATTTTGTGTAAAACTTCTAAAGTTGGGTTTTTTTCTTGCTTTGTCATTTCAGATTTGTCCAATATGTGCAGCGTTACCTGGAGGGGATCCAAATCATGTCACAGATGACTTTGCAGCTCATCTTACACTGGAACACAGAGCTCCCAGAGATTTAATATCCTTTCCAAGTTGATGCAAAGAGACTAGACTGTTTCATCTTGTAGCCATGATGACTTGTTTTGATTTTTGTAGTCAAAGGGTCATACCTCTGGTTTTCCTGGAACTTAAGTTGCTAAAGATCTGTATGTCAAAAATAAGAAGGTTCATTTGCTAGTTTAAAGAAGTGTAGATACCAGATTGTGAACAGACTGTAGGTATACTTGACAGTGCTTTTTGCTCTAACAGCAAAAACATTTAAAGAACTCTGAAACCAAGACGTTTTTGTGCATGCACTGTGGTGTATCCTGCCTGATCATTAGTCCTGATGGTGCTTTATGTATCCAGATTCAATAGTGTGCTCTAAGGATTTGTGACATGAAGGTGATGATCTGAGGATGATTCGGGCTTAGCTGGTTTTGACAAACGATTTAAACTTGGTTAACTACTTTTAACCCCATGTTTTAATAACAATTTCATAGTGTTACTGACATTTTGTAATATAACTCGGAAAACTTTCAGATTTCCTGGGAAATAGGATGTTGTCTTTCAGTTACCTTAGCAGCAGGTTATGCAGATTTATCTACACTTGATGCCTGAAGAGCTGGAACTATTGGGGATTTTTATCCTTGTTCTAGGAATATTTTTTTTTAACTTTTTCCCCCCTACGATTAACTGATGAAATGTATTTTGCTTTGGGCTTTTTATTTAATGACATGCAGGCTATGTAGCCTACCTACAATAAGTAATCTTTCTGAACTATTCCTTTGTGTCTCGTTTAAACAAACAGACAAAAAGACTACATTATTACTGTGATAGTGGCTTTTTTGTGTAAAGATTTTTTTAAAAAGGAAAAAAAAAGTAAGCCCTAGCAACTGGAGTAAAAAAAAAAATCAAAGCCCTAGCAACTGGAGTTTGTTACGGTAACACAAGGGAGGCAGCATCTAAGGAGATGGCTCCATTTCAGTTGTGATTGTGTTTGATTGCATTTGTGTGTGTTAGTTACCATGGTTTAGGGTCAGGACAGACTAAATGCACACGTTAATTACTACACAATAATTGGATCAGTGTAAAGGAGTTTGGGTGTTTATTGGCTCTGTGAAGGAGTAACTAATAATGCGAAGAACCCTACAAAGTTAGATAAAAGCAGTTATCTCTACTTCACCTTTCCCTGTGGACATGAGCAGGGCTCTCAGCAGTTGGGAGGAGCCGGGTGCTGAGTGCGGTGGCTCTGGCCATGTGAGCTTGGTCCCAGGTGTCCAGGGAGATCCTCCATGGTCAGGTGTCCCCCAAGGCAGAGTCATGCCATCCTCCTTTTCTGGTGGAGGTGGGATGAGATTGATGAGGGGAGAGCATCTTCCAGACCATTGGATCTTTCCTGGCCTTTAGATGGCTCTGAAATGTTGCTTGATGACTGGTGTAGTGAGTCACTGAGCAATTTTCCTTTTATCAGTTCAGTTCTGCTCTTTCTACCAATTGTCAGTTTTTCATATCACCTGCCTAATATGCTTTTTCTAACAAAATTTACATCCCTAATAACTACATAGCAATGTACCAAAGGTCAAACTGTGGGCCTTGAACATGGGGTTAACTGCTCTGTAGGCCAGGAAGTTTAAATTTTCCCAGTTACAGAGTGAAATTAATTTTGTACTGAAATGAACGAGATTTGATAGAGTTCTTTTTTGATAGAGTTCTTTTTCTCCTCCTCCAGTATCAGAAACTCCACCAGATGACTTTTAATTTGGGAATGTTTGAGGTAGAAAAAAATCAGTCTTTTCAAATACAGAGTAAGGCTTCAATGTCAGTCACCCCAAAATGGATCTTTCTTGGATATATTTTGGGAATACGCTGTCCATGATTCAGCATTAAAGACAATGCATGTAGTATTTTCTGCTTGTACACTATTGCTTCAGTGATCAGTGTTGTCAAGTCTCCAAAACTTGCAAGTGTATCCTGAAGTGAGTATTCCACATTGGGCTTTACATCATGTCTAGCAATGGGCAGGTCTAACATAGGAAAAAAGGAAAGAGGAGGTGCCCCTTTTCATGCAGGGTCTGGCAGCATAGGAAAGAATAACTGTCAAAGTCAGGGAACTGTTAGAAAGCTGCTCTTTGATGCTGTTATATTGCTGTTTTAAACATACTTATGTGAAGTTAAAGCTGTACAGAACAACTCTCTGTGCTCTGTAACAATCTTCATGTACAAAAAGGAGTTAGAGAGAAGGCTCTTCACTTGCACTTTTTCTAGAGTGAAGATTTCTGTTTACAGTTTGAGGTAAGCTTTTATTGTTGGGTTTGCTAGAGTCCTGACGAGTGGCCTCATCTTCCAAGTATTCATTGGACATGTGTGGTTTGTTTTGATTTTTGTGGTTTTTTTTCTTAAGTTGTCCCAGAAGGCTATGTGTTTCTTGTTATAAGCCTTGTGCAGCCACTGCAAGGTATGTCCTTTATTCTTACAGTCTGGGGACAACTCTTTAAAGCCTGGTTTCTTTCTTTAGCAGGAAAACATTTGAAAATGTATTAAATACAGCTTAGCAGCATCAATCATACAAATAGTTCTTGCATGGCTATTCAGATCTGTTTGTTACAAGTTAAGGTTTATAAAGGTTTTTCTTACTCTAGCATAGCTGCTAAGACTTGGGTGCCCACTTAGCTAGTATTTAAAGAATGATGTTTGTCTCAAAACACTTCAGAAGCTGCAGTTAAGAAAGTTACCCCACAGTCCTGTGTTGGCTTGAAAAATCCCCAGACACTGGCCTTTTCTACCAGGTCTAGTTATGAAGAACTTGCCAAACGGCATGGGGGCAGTAGTGCATCTAATACAATATCTCGTCTCCAGCAGCATCCAGTTTTAGCGCACTCAGAAGTGCAAGGCACTCTGTGCTAGGCAAAGTGTGTTTTGTGCCAGGGGATATTTTTCTCTTACACACTAGATGTTAAGTGTTTTACACTGCAGCATAACTAACAGGTTTGAAAGAGGCAAACATTCTATAAAATCTTTTTGTAATAGCCAGAAGTTCTTTCTTGCCATGAGAAGTCTAGTCTTTTCTTTCAGTCTTAAGTTCTTGACCTCCATGACATCCTGAGGTTCTGCACCATAACTGTGTTTTATGAAAAGCGCATTGGACACTACTCTTACCCAGTAATGGGTACCATACCAGTGGTAAGCAGACTATTATAAAAATGAAGAACATGGGAAATAGGAGGATCTTAAGCTAAAAGTCTAGTAACAGTAAAATAAAATATTCAAGCCTATGCTATTTCGTTTTGCCCTAGTGAATTATACTAGTGATTTTTAAAATAAAAGGAAGCCTTATCTGGACTGTCTTGGAGGAATGAATGTTAACAACTTTCTGACAAAAATAATCTTTAAATAATTTGTTGATTGTCTCAATTTATATGAGAAAACATAAAAGGTATGACTTGAAATATAAGCATCTGATATGGAGAAGTGGGGGAAAATGAAAGACATCATTGTCGTAACTGGAATTAGTGGCATTTCTTTGGCTAAAAGAGGAAAGGTGAAACAAAGGGGTGTGATGGAAGTGCTGAATACTCTGGAAACCTACGATTTCTTAAGGACTGAAGTGATGAAATTTCTTGCATAAAAGCATAAAGTACAAAAGTCAAAAGGAATACAGTAATTATAATGTACTTTTGATAGGAATGGTGACAAACTTTTTTTATTATTTTTTTCAATACTTAAGAATTGGGGAGAGAATAAAATCCCTATGTCTGTAATAAGCTTGGCTGAACATGTATTTGTCAGAGGTTTCAGACTACTGAGTAGAAAACTTTGATCTAAAAAAGCTAAGAGATTAATCCTGATGTTTCTTAGACATCATAAAAAGCTAGAGAAATGCAGGGAGTTTGGTGTACACAGCACTGGATATCTTGAGTTCAGATCAGTAGGTTTGACTTGCACCATAGCTACAGTGTACCTTAGCTTCAGATGTTGAATCATTATTTTATGAATGAAGAACAGTGCACCTGAGTATTTCACCCATCAAATGTCCTTGTCATTTAATACTCAATGCCAAACAGTTCTGTTTTCTTAACTTCTTGGTTACGATGAATCCAGTGGTGTTCGGCATGTACGTAGAATGTTCCACCCAGGCCGGGGTTTGGGAGGCCCCCGTGCACGTAGATCAAACATGCACTTTACTACCAGTTCCCCTGGTGGGCTTTCATCTTCTCAAAGTTCGTATTCTCCAAGCAATAGAGAAGCCATGGATCCTATAGCTGGTAAGAGGTGTAACCACGAATTTTACCCCAATGTCCTTCTTACACAGAGGAAGTAAAATTCAAGATGATGATAGTTGCCCTGCTTTCCATTGTTATGAAGCTGCATGTATAGATATGATCCACAGCGCAAGTGTGATTGATGGCTGCTTGCAGGTGAGCAGTGTGCTTGGCTGGGTTGTTGCAGGGCTGTGGAGGTGCTGAAGCTGAAACCACTGCCTGTAGCTTGTGCTTTTAATTCTAGACAGTGTAAGGCTTATTCCCAAATGTAATCTATGCACAGGTGTTGTATATTTTTACAAGTGATTGTGTCCAACTTCTATCACCTGCTTTAGTACATCTCATTTTAATTTGCCATGTGGATAAAGGTGTTTATGGAGGAGAGTATCTATCTCAATGAAGATGAAATTAGCTGAATTTGAGTATTAAAGGACATTTAAAATATGTTCAGCTTGCATTCAGGCTGCTGTTTGAATGCCAGACTTGCTAATATCACAGATTTTATTTATTTTTAGGTGTACTTGTAAATTCCTACATAAATGTACTGCTGCAAGTATTTGAAGTGTATTTTGGTCAAGTTTTTCTAAACTGTGAAGGGGGAAGAGTGTCTCATTTTCAACACCAGAAAATAATGAAGATGTGTCTTTAGGATTCCCAGGAATAACTTGTTTGGCATATGTTTAGCTTTGATGTGAAAATAACTTTTTTTACAGGAAAGGAAAAATAAATAATTCAAACAATTCTGGAAACAAATTTAACTTTCCCTAAGGGGAAACATAAATGTTTTTATGCAGTAGTCTTTGACCATGCCAGCGTAAGTGTTAGGGAAACCTCAGAACTTCTGCCATAATCCACCTTTGCTTCAGATGCCGAGAAGGCATAATGCTTAAACTGGAGCTTCCTACCGTCATGTTGTGACTTCTTCAGAGGGAGGTAGCCAGCCAGCTTAATGAGGCGCTGCCCCTGAGAGGGGAGCTGTGGCTCCACTGCCTGCCTTAATCATGGTCCACTTGCCTGCCTTCTACTGGCTCCAGTGCTCTGCTGGCCTGCTGTGACCTGATTTAACTCATTTTATTAGCTGGGAAGAAGTATCCCATCAAGAGAAGAAAGTAAGTTAATTGAGGTCACAGGAGGGTCTGAAAAGGACTAGAGTTTGTTCAAGGAGGGAGGATGTTTGTGAAGCCTCTAGTGCAAGACCTCATCTTTCTCTTACAAGGGCAGCTAGTTCAGCTCAGTTAAATGTGGAGCAGCTGCTAAGGTTTGTTTTCAGCCTCACAAGGCCTTCCCACTTAACAGCATTAAATGTGGGATAAAATGGCATTCTTCTGAATCTTTTCTTTTTTGGTGGAAGCTATGTTTTTGCATTTAGAGTTCAGTTGCACACTGAGCTGGGTGTCCTTCTTATATCAAGACTGTCTCAAGCTCACATCTGCTTCCAAAGTATTGTTGCACTATACTATAAGCTTTAACTTATGCTTTAATGTACAGTGAGAATAAATACATCTAAATATTGTCTGGAAGGTTGACACATCTTCCCTTTTGCTGGACTAATAAATAGGAAAGTCCACAGAATTTTTCTGTTTAAAATAAATGAAGTTTATAGTATGTTACTTTTTTTACATTTTCTTTCCTCCTTGTGGCGTTTTCTAGTAATTACAATGGAATTAAAAGGTTTAATCTTGATATTGCTGTCAGTGCTGGTAAAAATGACTTGACTGTCCTGAGTTCCTGACATGGAAAACAACTGCATTTTGCTTTATTCCCTCAGAGAAAGCCTCATTTAGGATTATATTTTGTTAATGCAATGGAAGGAAAATTGTCATGGCCTATATAGTAACTTTGTAATGTAGAGGTGAGGGGCAGGAACAATATTGTCTCCTACTTCCTCTGTCCTTCTATCAATTACAGCGAGCAGGTGATACAAGAAGTACCTTCTACACAGCGTGTAGAAGAGATTCTGCAGTAATGCACTGAGTAGTAATTTGCTGTGAATATTTATTTCAAAAAATTCGTTGTAGATGAAACTTGCTATAAGCATTCCATCCCTCTGAATCGGAAGACTTAAGGACAGACGTTTTTTTTTTAAATTACTAGGCTTTCTCCATACCTCTGGTAGAAATAAAAATTCATACAGCAGAAGTGCTTGACCACTTCAGTTTTGATGTGAGGCAATACTTTAACATGTTTTCTTAACTAAATATTTCGCATTAAATGTTTGAAGCAATGGTATGCTATTTCTGTCTTTGCTGTGGCACAGCTTCCTTCTGGGATACTGGGATGGTGAAGCCTGTGTTTTGAGGGAACATTCGTTGAGAGGAAAACTAAATTACCAACCAAAGGCAAAATGATGCAGTTTCTTAGTCAGTTGCTATTTTGACTTGAAGTTTCAGAGAACATCATTTGCCAGGCGTTCCTGTAAATTGGCTTTCCTGTTATTTTGAAGGCATTAAACTTTGACTTCTTGTTTGGAATAAATCTGCATAAATCTGCAATCTTCCTTACCCTTTGAGACATTGTATGCTAGGACTTTTTTCAGGAGGTTCATGGGCTCTTTAGCATCGTTTGTTCTTTTACTTTATTGAGTGAAAAAAGGAACTGATGCACTGGAATTCAGGCTGTATTTATCCTATTGTGTAATGATCATTTAAGATCTTTCATCATAGAAACTTTCTCTTCTCTGGCAGAGCTTTTATCTCAGCTATCAGGTGTGAGGCGTTCTGCAGGAGGACAGCTCAACTCTTCTGGCCCTTCTGCTTCTCAGTTACAGCAGCTGCAGATGCAACTGCAGTTGGAACGACAACATGCGCAGGCTGCAAGACAACAACTGGAGACTGCACGTAATGCAACTAGACGCACCAACACGATCAATGTCAACACCACTATGACACAATCTACAACAACAACCAACACATCTAACACAGAAAACAGTCAGCAGACTATCCAGAATTCCCAGTTTCTTCTTACAAGGTAACTTGTTCTATGTATTTACTTGTATTTTTACCTTTTACCGTTTCTGTTTGCCTTAGTCCTGAGAGAGCTCAATGGAACTTAAGTGTTAGGAGTTAAGCATATGCCCTAGTAAAGCAGTTTCTGATCAAATATATCCCAGAGTTAACAGGCTCATTAATCATATATATTCACGGTAGACAGCAACAGTGGTCACAGAATGTGTAATACATAAAAATTGCTTCATCCACATTTCTAGCATAGAAGTAAAACCATTAATATCTAAGAATAGCAGTTCATGGCTGGCCCAAAGGGAATTATTCTGCTTTTGGAAAGCCAACTCCAGGAGCTGACTGCAGAAATATCCTGTGGTGGCGTAGTGTTTGCAAAAAGGAGAGGCAATCTCACAAGTGCGCTGTACTTTTTTTGATGCACCTAGGAACATGTTTGAAGGATTAGACTTGAGTAGGGATTTCTGCAAACCTTGAAATGAGGCTGATTTTGAGTTCTGGCAGAGTAAGTTACTTATGACTCCAGGTAGGGGACTTCTGCCAGATCCTTCGTCAGATCTGTAGCCAACATACTGTGCTTTTGTTTGCATTTGTAATGTCTTTTCAAACCTACTGTCTGTCTGCTCCTAAGCAATGGGTGAGCATTAGTTGCTGCATCTCAACTTCAAGAGGACAAAAGGAATATTTCTTAACTAAATTGTGCTTGTTTCCCCTATTGCTTCCAACAAAACAAATGCATTTCCAGTGATACAAGCATACAGACTTGAGCTGTAATGGAGAGTGAAAGAGTCAGGAGATAGTATTGTTCAATAGGAAATTAATCTTTAGTAAAAGCTGAAGGTTGAATACAGGTTTATATATAAATTATTTTAGGGACTGGATAACAGAGCAAATAAAGGATGTCATTAATTAATAAAATACTTATCTGGTTTAGAAATTATACTTAGATCCCAGGGTCGTTCTAAAGAGCAGTCACCCACTATGTCATTCCAGTTCTTCTTAGATGGTTGGCTATTGACCTGAAATAAGTTCTCCACATCTCCCCTGCTGTGCACCCCCCGCCCCGTACATACTCTTGTTTGTCCATTTGGTATTGTGAAAGTGTGTGGGCATTTTAACAGGTCCTGTGTCAAGAAACCTGGATTTGAGTCAATCTGATTTCTATCTAAGTGCAAAATAATACCATGTGACATATTTCAATCAGAAACTCACTATTATGTGAGAAACTTAATCAAAGTACCTGCAAGTGTCATAGATTGCCACTTTCAGAGTTGGAGCGAGCAGTTTCCTTGCCTACCAGGGCATGCACTGTAACCCAGGAGAAGTGGTGGAATGAACATTCTGTTGTGCTGTGGGAATCCCTAGGCGTTACACATGCAGTCATGTATTTTGTGGCATATGTGAACGTAGAAGTTGACCTAGAAGAAAAATGGGCATGTAATGAGTGTCTAGGAAATCATAACAGCCCTCCCTAACAGACTCTTGAATAGCAGGAAGCCTCACAAATAGTGTTTTTTTTATTTTCCTCTAGCTTTAGGCTCCACTTTGCTGTTATAGCAACAGCAAAAGGGTGGCTTGCTAAATGCATGCCTGTTGTGTGGAGGTGTCGGAGGTTGCCTGAGCTGTACGTGTCGAAGGGAAGTGGGACTATCCTGAAGGAGAGGTTTTTCGAGTGCCCTTTGGTGCCTGTCAGTAGTGTCATCGGTGAAGTGGGCTTTCACCAACTGCCTGTCTTCTCTTCCCTTGCTGCTGTACAGGTTGAATGATCCGAAGATGTCGGAAGCAGAGCGTCAGTCAATGGAAAGCGAACGGGCAGACTGCAGCCTGTTTGTTCAGGAGCTTCTACTGTCCACTTTGATGCGGGAAGAAAGTTCCTCCTCAGATGAGGATGAGCGGGGGGAGATTGCAGATTTTGGTGCTATGGGCTGTGTAGATATTATGCCTCTAGATGTTGCTTTAGAAAACCTAAATTTAAAAGAGAGTAATAAAGGAAACGAGCCTCCTCCACCTCCTCTTTGATGACATCCCACTTTGCAGACAATGTCCTCTGTGCTGTATTTGCCAATGAAAGTGGACAACAACTATCTTGGGTTTGTTTTGGTGATTGTAATTTCAGGTCTGTCACTCTTGTTACATTGTGTACATTCAAAAGAAAGAGAGAAAATATATATATGATAATCATTTCCACTTAACTAATTTTTACTTCTAGCAGGTAAATGTAGGTTGCAGTGCAGAGCAAAAAGCTCTGTGGCCTGTACCTTGACATGCAAAAGGCTCTCCTAATACTCCACATTCAAACTGAAGAGGAAAAAAAATGAAAAATCTCTAATGAAGCTGCTGTGTGTATTTATGAATATTAATGAATAAAAACTGCTTGGATGGTTTACCTTAACTACTGCATGATGTTTTTTGCAGCGTGCATGAGTTTTAGTGACCTTGTCATTTAAGAATTTAAATACAAGGAGTAAAACTATCAAACCCAAAGCTTTCCCATTATTCAAAGGTTACGTGACAAAAAGGTTAGTGCTAACTAGCAGTTTGTGGCCACAAAGTAGCTTTTGAATAACATGTGACAGAATGACATGTTTATGTGCTGTTCCTGCACAGGATGGAAACTCTGCAGTGGGATATATTGTCGTGACCAGGGCGTGGCATTCTGCTGTATGTGGCCATTATGTTTCCCTGTTAGCCATCACCTCAATGTGGAGTTGAACGTCATTTTATGCATCTGTAGGAGACACAACAGTAAGGCCACTGCTGGAAGCTACTGCAAGGGGCTTTTGTGTGCCCTAAAAATCAAATTATGTTCACTTTTGTTTAAAGCTTTTCGTTTTTGTGGTTGTTAAAATTTTTTAATTGTTAAATATGTTTTATTCAGGTGTAGACAATTCATATATTCACTGTGTTTAAAAAAAAAAGTTAACCTGGATCATGTTGTCTTAGTTTAAAAAGCCTTTCACAGTCTCAATCATATTTTGAGTTATTTATGTATTTGCTTCATAGTTTGCAGAGACCTGTCAGTATCAGGAGAGCTTGAGGATTTGGATTCCCAGATTGTTGGTATATTACAATTGAATTCTTAATGCTAACTTTAGCACCTTTTATTTATTGTTTCTTTTGGTTATTTTTGGTGGTATAAAAAAGTTGAAAAAGCCTTTTAGTTGAATTGTGCCACCTACATGCCTATACAGTTAGCCCTGCTGGTTTGGAAAAAAAGAGTATGGTGTTCTTGTGCATAGAAGTTTATAATAGCCCTGAGACAAGGACAGAAGGGCTATGTTTGGCTTTGGTTTTGGTTTTCTCTCTCCCCCCCTCCCCGCCCTTTTTTTGTGGGTTTTTTTGAATGTAAAGTTAGATTATAAAAACAAAAGTGCACACAGCTTCTGATGAAAACTTAAACTAGGCTTATATCATAATGGTGTCTTTCCAGATCTTTCTCACTTCACCCCCTCTCTCTTTCTCTGTATCCTTCCATCTCTGCAGCATTGCTAGCGTTTTAGAGTAAATTTACAGACTTGAACACCAGATGGTGTTCTCAGCAGAACTGTGACGTGTATGCTAATCCAAAATAACAGCAGCAAAAGAAGCAACTCCATAGACTGAAGTTTAAGTTCCATTCCTTTTACATTGTGTACATTCAAAAGAAAGAGAGAAAATATATATATGATAATCATTTCCACTTAACTAATTTTTACTTCTAGCAGGTAAATGTAGGTTGCAGTGCAGAGCAAAAAGCTCTGTGGCCTGTACCTTGACATGCAAAAGGCTCTCCTAATACTCCACATTCAAACTGAAGAGGAAAAAAAATGAAAAATCTCTAATGAAGCTGCTGTGTGTATTTATGAATATTAATGAATAAAAACTGCTTGGATGGTTTACCTTAACTACTGCATGATGTTTTTTGCAGCGTGCATGAGTTTTAGTGACCTTGTCATTTAAGAATTTAAATACAAGGAGTAAAACTATCAAACCCAAAGCTTTCCCATTATTCAAAGGTTACGTGACAAAAAGGTTAGTGCTAACTAGCAGTTTGTGGCCACAAAGTAGCTTTTGAATAACATGTGACAGAATGACATGTTTATGTGCTGTTCCTGCACAGGATGGAAACTCTGCAGTGGGATATATTGTCGTGACCAGGGCGTGGCATTCTGCTGTATGTGGCCATTATGTTTCCCTGTTAGCCATCACCTCAATGTGGAGTTGAACGTCATTTTATGCATCTGTAGGAGACACAACAGTAAGGCCACTGCTGGAAGCTACTGCAAGGGGCTTTTGTGTGCCCTAAAAATCAAATTATGTTCACTTTTGTTTAAAGCTTTTCGTTTTTGTGGTTGTTAAAATTTTTTAATTGTTAAATATGTTTTATTCAGGTGTAGACAATTCATATATTCACTGTGTTTAAAAAAAAAAGTTAACCTGGATCATGTTGTCTTAGTTTAAAAAGCCTTTCACAGTCTCAATCATATTTTGAGTTATTTATGTATTTGCTTCATAGTTTGCAGAGACCTGTCAGTATCAGGAGAGCTTGAGGATTTGGATTCCCAGATTGTTGGTATATTACAATTGAATTCTTAATGCTAACTTTAGCACCTTTTATTTATTGTTTCTTTTGGTTATTTTTGGTGGTATAAAAAAGTTGAAAAAGCCTTTTAGTTGAATTGTGCCACCTACATGCCTATACAGTTAGCCCTGCTGGTTTGGAAAAAAAGAGTATGGTGTTCTTGTGCATAGAAGTTTATAATAGCCCTGAGACAAGGACAGAAGGGCTATGTTTGGCTTTGGTTTTGGTTTTCTCTCTCCCCCCCTCCCCGCCCTTTTTTTGTGGGTTTTTTTGAATGTAAAGTTAGATTATAAAAACAAAAGTGCACACAGCTTCTGATGAAAACTTAAACTAGGCTTATATCATAATGGTGTCTTTCCAGATTTTTCTCACTTCACCCCCTCTCTCTTTCTCTGTATCCTTCCATCTCTGCAGCATTGCTAGCGTTTTAGAGTAAATTTACAGATGAACACCAGATGGTGTTCTCAGCAGAACTGTGACGTGTATGCTAATCCAAAATAACAGCAGCAAAAGAAGCAACTCCATAGACTGAAGTTTAAGTTCCATTCCTTTTTTTTTTTTTTTTCTTTTAAATCCTCAAATCCTGATTGTTTCCACATAGAGCAGTACTAGCTTTGTTTTCTTTTAGTCTGTGCAACAGAAAATGTTTCAAGGGAAACTTTACATGAGGCCTCTGGTTATCCTGAGAGTTAACCCCCAGTAGGGACTTTTTTATTGATTGTTGAGGATTTTCAAAAATTTTTCAAGCTGTAGTCTTTTCAAACACATCTTCTGCACATTACAATAAGACACACAGTTCAATAAAGCATTTTCAAGACTGTTGTTCAGTTGATTTTCTTTGGTTTTGATGTATTACCCAGATAGTTTCATTGCAGAAACTTCTGCAGCTGTGTTTAATTCCAACTGTATACAAAATCAGTTCAGGTAGAAATCCTGGGTGGTTTACATAAATGTGTTTTAAAACCATGTGCTTTGGCAGATGAAGAAGTGTGTATCCTAAACTCTTCACAGGTAGGTGAATTCAGGTTTCCATAGAACAAGATGCATTTAAAATAGGCTCTTCTCAGTGTGGTGTTATTTAGAACCGGTGTACAGCTGGTCTCCAGAGGACGCTTTCATTGTGTGACTTCCAAACTCCACTCCACTTGCATTGCAGAGGATGCAAACCGGTATTATCCATGTTTATTTAGAGACAATATATGCTGACTTGGATTTAAAGATATTCTTGGGCATCACATCAGCTCATAAAGCTTCAGTTTTTTGTTTGTTTTTTTTTTCTTTTTTTAGGTTTAGAAATAATATGAAATGGCTACTAGGAAGGTGTTTATTCTAGTAGTCTGCTAATTCCTATTTGCAGGGAAGTTTTTTTTCCTCACAGAGTGAGCATAGTCAGGATAGTAGCTTTTGGGGTATTTCCAAAACATTTGTGTGTTTATTTTCAAGGTGCTCTGGCCTACAATGAAAATAGCCTTCAGGAACTTCGCAGGAGGATCCTGTAGGGGGGTTATTGCCTTTTCCCTGTGAGGGGACAAAAAAAAAAAAAGCCAAACAGAACCCCACAGCCCCATCCCAACACAACAGAAGGGAGCAAAACTCTTGGAGTGCAGTGCAACCTGTGCCTGATGCTGGTGTGTGTGCGAAGGCTGGACGCAGCTGGTGGGAGCCCTCGCGGAGGCGGCCTGTGGTGGCGCAGGCCACGGCTGGGTGCTTTGCTCGGGCCAAGGGCATCCCCTGCCTCGCTGGTGGTGGTGCACTGCGCTGGTGCTGCGCTGCCCGGGGAGAGCGTGCCGGCTTCCCTTCTGGCAGCACTCTTCGGCTGGTAAAGGCTGCCAGAGAGCCCCCTTGGGGGAGGGGGCAGACAGAAGGGCGTGTATATTCATTTGCTAGACGTTTGGCTTTGTTTTAATCGGGGTCTTGTTTTTCCGTGTCCCCCCCCCCCCCCCCTTTTTACTAAATGCCAAAAAAAGACACACAAGGTGGTGTGATAAGCAATGAAAATGCATTCTAACTTCCATCCACCTCGGGTTTTGCTTGCAGTTGTGACTGCCTTCATCAGTTCCCTGGGATGTTTAGAGGGTGGGGGTTGGTTGTGTTCTGAGTTTCGTTGGTTTTTGTTTGTTGCTTTTTTTTTCCTCCTGCCTCTGCCCTTATCTCAGGAAGGGTCTGTAAGCCTTTCCTTCTTGGTGTGGAGTTGTGCTCCCAGGTAGCTTGTGGATGTGGTAGCTTGGCCCAGAAACTGAACATGTAGATGTGTGCACATTTTGTAGTTTTGAGACTCTTGTCTGTTGGGAAGGAGTGAAGGCAATTCTCTGCTACCAGCCAGAAGTCCCAGGAGGCAGAGATTCTTTGCTGCCTCCTGGGGCTCTCGGAAGACCTGAAACAGGGAAGCACTGGATGCACTTGCTGTGTGAAGACTTTTCCCTTTACATCACTTTTAATCTTCCTTTCCTCTTCCCTAACATACCTGGCCTTCACTTCTGGATCTGCCTGCTTTGCCAAATAAATGGGATGCCTTGCTGTTTTGAGGCCATTTTATTGTTTTAGCTCTTGTGCAGAGCACTGCTAGGAACTGCCCTCTGCTCTGCTGTGTCCTGTGCTGAAGGGCAGTGTGATGCTGCCCTCCTTGGCTGTCTGGCAGTCCCTGCAGCCTGCCTCATGCGGCCTCGCTGCTGGCTCTGGCTTGCAGAGCACAGTGGATACAGATGTGCTGGGCTCTGCTTCGTTGCACCAAGGATCTCGAGACAGGCCTATGTGCACAAAGATATATTTGCAGATGTTTGTGTACAGCATAGTGCTCGGAGTTACTTGAGGGCAAAGAAATAGAAAA